AGGGAAATAAAGGGGTCAGTGGGCTGTTGAGTCTAATCACTCCTCATTACCGTCACACACACACACACACACACACACACACACACACACACACACACACATGCACACTGTTGGCAGGGCTGCTGGCCAGAATGGAGTCCCTTTTGAGAAGACCCACAAGCACACAAAATTCTACCAGAAAATCATTCAGTCCTTTGGGAAACATGCTATAGGCCATGTTCATTACACACATGAATACTGACACAGGTCAGTGCTCTCCAAGATTGGATGTGAGCAGGTCCTATTGAGAGCACCCCACGGGTAAGGCTTGTGTGTGGCTCATCTCTGTGACCCCAGCACCTTAGTATTTTTTGGCACATTGCAAACACTAGAAAGACGCTCTTTCTGAGTAAATGAATACATGAAGACTGTTTTCTATTTTAAGCATTTGTGAAGTTATTGGCTTCATTCCATCCATATTCTCTAGCCCGTAGGGACAGAGAAAAACAAGTAACTCCTAAACCTGGGGAACAGAAGGAAAGAAAGACCACAGACATGCAAAGCCAAATGCAGCCCACGGACCAAGCTAACTTTCTAGGTAAGAGGTGAATCTGAACAACTGTTATCTGGCTGACTCCTAGGAGCCAGCCCTTTCCTTGCAGATGTATGATGTGTTCCCCAGAGGAAGAATGTCTGTCTCACTACCCTCTCTTCTAAGGATATCATGCGGACAAGAATGTTGCACAGCAATTGCAGTCTGTTAGCTCAGCATTTCAAGTCAGTTTCACAGCAGCAAACCTGAGCTCTGGGTTTCCTCCTGGTTTGGGAACTGGCTGACTAGAATTCAACTCAATTCAACTCAGCTCAGTTCAACTCAGCTCCATTCAATTCAAAAGGCATTTGTTGGGGCCAAAGGTGCCAGGTATTGCCAACAGAAGATACAAACATGAGTGGAAAACAGTTCCTGCTCTCAATGAAATACTCTGTGTTTTTCCCCTAAGTACAAGATAATGAACGGCCAGCAAAGCAATTTACTTCAAGATGTTTCTTACGTCGGGGTCGTAAAATGTGCTGGGCCATCCTGGTGAGTCTTGAAGCTGCAGACAAATACCTTTGAGCTAATGGGCTGTGCATGAGCGAGCCACTTGCTGTCGCAGCTTTCCACAGCGAATCATGCTGAAGTCAAGTCACAATGTCAGGAGGAAATAGAGCTCATTAGGAAAGCCTCAACTTTTGGGGGAGCAGCTGACCTTAAAAAACCCTATGGTCCCATGCCGATTTTATAACCTTACAAAGAATTGTATTCTACTGCATATAATCTCACTTGAACCTCACAACCCAATGAGTTAGGGAGCAGGAGTGTTACTTTAGTAGACTGAAGAAATTGTGACATGGAGCAGGTAAAAGAGTTGGCTCAACTCTGATTTAGGAATGAGACCTCAGGCCTCCTGAAGTAGATCAGGGATCTTTCTGCAGGTTACTTATTTTAAACCAGTTTGAATTTATTTGCAGCTTCCATTATTTTAAATAAATAAACAAATAAATAAATAAATAAATAAATAAATAAATAAATAAAAGACGAATCCAGGGGCATTGTGGCATCATGTTTTTATCCATTTATACCTCCAGCTTTGTACCAGCATGGTGTTTCAAAACACATTTCATTGTTTGTTTTTCTCTCCTTCTCCCATATTACCCTCCACAATTACTGAATGGTTTCTCAGAAGGTCAACGTTTGTTGTCCTTGCTAAAGAGGGGACCAAGTGGTTCTGGCTAGAGGATATTTCACAGATTGTCTTGATTAGAATGTTTTCATTTGAAAGAAGCAAACCCAATTCAAACAGGTTCAGAAAGTTATGGATTGCATTGGCTGTAAAAGAAATTTTTTGAGACTAAAACGTAAGTTCAGTAATGACTTGCAAGGTGCTACCCTAGAGCAGTGTGCTCACTCAGGACAGGACCACTGGGCTTCCTGCTGGGGCAGCAGGGTTGTATAGAGCATTTGTAGAGGTTATACTCGGTATTC